GCTTCAGCACCGAAAGCTGCCACTTGAAATGGTTTCCAAAAAATATAGTCCTGTAAATACAAGTAGCTGAAGGGCTGTTGATCGTAAGAGTAGCATCTGTAGCACTGAGGATATGGGGTCAGACCTCTCCAGGTGACCACAGGAACAGGGAAAACATGGAATTTTCAGTTATCATATCTAGTGTATGGCAGCAATCAAGATGAAAAGAAATTTTCCAAAGACAAAAATCCAATATGACTCCGGTTTTAATTCTCCTGTATCTTCCTGCAGTGACTTTATCGTGATGAGTTACAAGTTGCAGCTTTCAGCAGAAACTACCATTGCTTTGATGCTATTTTAATGTTATTTAAGCATAAAATATGAGTATTTAGCAATGGATTTCAAGTCCATGAAAATCTAATCAGAAAAAGGCTTTCTGATAAATGGAGAAATATGATTTGCATTTGAGTTGCTACAACATCATTCTTGTAATTTACATACTGTCCACAAAACAGTAATGTTTTTGCAGGTATTGCAAGAACCTAATAAAAAAGCAGAAATTACAACCAGAGAGCCTGTAAGGACGAATCAAAACTCCCCAATATTCAAAATTATCATAATGCTTAATATCTGTGTAGCTGTTTTTATTACCATTTCTTTTATTCCTGTTACTTGAAATAGAAAAATGGATTTTTACAGACCCTGTGGAATAAGTCTGCACTTTTTCTTTATTCCACTTATTCCTCAGTGGAATAAGTCTCCACTTTACAGGAGCAGCTGGAATGAGGTGTTGCTGCGGGTGCAACCACAGTCCCAGCCTGGCTGGAAAGCATGTAAGCCTGATGCTCACTCCAAACCAGAAGAAACATGGCACCATGGGCAGAACTCAGAGGCTTTAATTGCCCAATGAAGCCAAATCCAATGAGTTACTAGAGACGTCATGAATCAGCCCAGGGCATTAACAGGGGAGTTAATGACCAGCTGGGTTTAGTACCTCTTCACATTTTCACTGGGTCATGAAAACATCAGGAAATGCCCTAGACTATCATTTCTGATCAGGATTGCTTAATGAGTTACACAGCTACACAAAGGCTTCAGCACAATAAGATACATACATAAGCTTCAGCTAATAAGCCACATCCACCTTTTCCTTTTCTCTCCTGTTCTCCACTTAAATAGCCATAGTGTGATATGTATCCTACCTCGCTTCCAGAAAAATTATGCTCTTTGTCTTCAACTTCTGTGAAACGGTATTATCTGCTGTGTGGCAGCTGGCTTACCTGTTCCTCGGTAAAATCTGTTCATTTCTTCCCCTTTATAAAGAGTATTTTTACTATTTGCGTATAGCTACTCCATTTTCTCTTCTGTTTTGACGTTTGAAAGAGACACAGCTGTGTAGAGCAAGGAATCCTGCATTAGTCATCTGAATGACTTCTGCAAAAATGGAAGAGCCTAAAGCCTCAAGTAAATTATTTGCCAGTCTTCCTCATGCCTACCCACTTTATCTGTTACTCGGGTTGTTTAGGCAAAAAGCAAACAAAGGGTTGAGCAAATTCTTAGAAATGAGTGTGTTTTCTGAGCAATCAAATTCTGCACAGAAACCATACCTAAAATCAATATGCAAACCCATTTTTTACTGATCTAGTCTAATTTCCACATTTGGAAATGATGAAGGGGCGTAATCCTGGAGATGGAAAGTTTTACAAGTAGCAGTAGCACTGGACAAAGAACAAAAACATTAAATTGTTTCTACCTGTAAATAAGCCAGATAGAGTAGAGCTAGTTCTTTCTAGCGTCACAAGCATCTGTCAGTTGCAAACACTCCGAATGCCCAACATGTGACACAAATGCACAAAATATTCACCAGTGCTTCAAATTCCCAGGCAACTGCTACAACATAGTTATTAGCTGTCAAAGTGTAAATTGGCAAAACTATGCAAATAGGATGGTCCTTCTTCTCACCATCTCCTGTGGGCTTCCTTACTGGAGGTGGTACTTTCTTGCTCTTCTTCCCACTCAGTGACCCTGTTTGCCACCCCTTGAATGCTGAGGCACTTCTAAGAGGCAACAAGGACATGTTTCTGGGCTTTCTGCCCTGGAGTTTTTTTTTCTTTTCTATAAAATAGCATGACCCCGCTCCTCTAATTTTCAAACTTCACTCTACTTGAGCTCTTGCTGGACTGCATTTCATTGAGGAACACTGATAGAATAATGTAGCTTGTTATTTTTTAGAGTAGTCATTATTAAATATTAATTTAATGCACTGAGATCAACCCAGAATTTAATTTTCACTTTTCAAATGCTCCTTGTGTCAAAACCAACAATTCCAGAAATCATCATTATTTTGGTGAAAGCGTGTTACTGAAAGTACAGATATTCACAGCTTTTGCAAAGCAGTTTAGCACACACCAGACCCACTTGAACAGAAAAGCAATTGCATAGTGTGGTGAGTGATCTTTAATCCACATTGGGTCAGGAAATCTGGAAAAGGTGAGAGTGCTCAAAAAGGGAGCAGACACGTCTAAAGCGTCTGTGTTATTTTTTGTACAGAAGAACAAGAACGTATGATTCAGTCGAAGTGCCATGAATCCACAGTGTACTGTGGTGTAGTAAACACTACAATGTGTGAGTGTCCTGCTGTTTCCTTTTCAGAGATTCTGGACAGGATAGTGCCACACATCTATATATGGAAGCAGTAAGAGGAAGTGTAAAACTCTGTGCAATATATCACAAGTTTCTAAATATACACAGAGCTGTTAACTTTTAAGGTTAGAAGAAATTGTTCACATCAGTGTTAGACTCTGTTAACTAGAATGCCTGGCATACTTGTTCACATCTTCATTTTTCAAAGGAAAGACAGATTTGAAAGCAGAATAATTTTCACATAGCCCCAAAATTTAAAATTATCAAATCCACCATCATCAAAAAAGGCTGCTAAAGCACACAACAATCCATGAGATGAATCGCTGTTACATAAAACACAGACCAAATTTCCATTAGCAGACCAAAGATTGTATAACGCATTGCAACTTATTTACCATGTTAAAGTGATGAAGCCTGGCCTTCTGCAAATTTTCTGGGTTTTGCTTCCTAACCTTTCCTATGGGACATACTTGAACACACCCCATATAACCTATGATGGTCCCCACCCTGGAGAAGAGATAGAAGTGCTATGCTAAGTCAGAAGTTAGATGAACACATTCAGCTGACTGTTGCCAAATAAAAAGTACAAAAATTTTGCTTCCTTTCCTCAAGATGGGCATTAATTTGTCTCCTCTATCCCAATTGCAGGACAGTAATTAACTTTGCCCCCACTAAAAAGGAACTTAGAGATGCATGCATGGACAGACAGAGAAGCAGGCAGAAAGACTAACACAAGGATAGACAGGGTGACTGCATAACCTTTACTTCTTAATCAAGTTGGCATAATTTAATTTAATCATCTAATAAGAGGAGTAGCTAGAGAAACATTCTGCAGACCTGCTAGGATGCAGTTAAAAAAGAGAGGGTGTTTTTTTAATGTGGTCAGAAAAAAGTCAAGATACCCATTAAGAAGGAGCGAGTCCCAGACCTTAGAGACCACTAAAAATGCGAGTCTGCAATTGCCAGTGTGGAGCTTCACCAGGAAGATCCTGAATAAGGTTTGTCTTTGTAAAGGTCATAGTAAACTCAGATTAAGACTTTCTAAGTACACGTGAACAATACCGAGTGAGAGATCGTGAGGACACGTGTTGCAGATGGGAGACATCTAACAGGATAAATAAACATAGATCAACAGGATAAATAAGACCTCTGTCTAAATAGCGGGGGGGAAATGTACAAAACATATTTACATGAATTTGACACATACCTTTTCATGGACAAGATACAGTCAAACTAAAATTCCTGGTTAATCTTGATACAATTTTTATAGCATAAATTATAAGACTAGTGGAAAGAATTTTGACACTTTGTATGAGTTTAAAGCATAGAATCATAGAATCATTAAGGTTGGAAAAGACCTCTAAGATCATTGAGTCCAACCGTCGTCCCAACACCACCATGCCCACTAAACCATGTCCCTAAGCGCCTCATCTATACCTCTTTCAAATACTTCCAGGGATGGTGACTCAACCACTTCCCTGGGCAGCCTGGTCCAATGTTTAACCACTCTTTCAGTAAAGAAATTTTTTCTCACATCCAATCTAAACGTCCCCTGGTGCAACTTGAGGCCATTTCCTCTCGTCCTATCGCTTGTTACTTGGGAGAAGAGACCAACACCCACCTCGCTACAACCTCCTTTCAGGTAATTGTAGAGTGCAATGAGGTCTCCCCTCAGCCTCCTTTTCTCCAGGCTAAACAACCCCAGCTCCCTCAGCCGCTCCTCATAAGACTTGTTCTCCAG